CTCTGTGGGTCATAAACCATCGACTGAGGGTCCCCAGACGATCTCAGACATCAGTTTAAAGGCAAATAAAATGTTAGAATATTTTCAACATAATTATTGCAAACAAACAAAAATATAATAATAAATGAATAAAAGTTGCATCATAGTTATTAGGTTTGTTTATCTAATTATTCCCATCTTTAACAGAGTTCTTAGCTTTCATTTATAAACCAGTGATTTCTGAGGTCACGAGTTTCTGCAGCTGTTATTTTTGAGCCAAAAGTTAAGACGTTTAACAACTGGTAGAAAGGGACAGTGTTCTGGTTTTTATCAGGTTCTGGTTCTGATCCAACCTCAGAAACAGAACAGATTCCACCAAGTCATCAGTTGTTTAACAGAAACTAGAAACTGAACGGGTCAAAAGGCTGCAGAAGTTCTGGACTTTATTTCTCTTCATGCAGATGTTTTTTATTTCTGTGGGTGATGATTGAGACAGAACTCAGAACGGCTCCATGGTTCTGTTGCAGACATGCCTGGTGCCGGCGGTCAGTACCAGGTGACCCGGATGAGGCTGAACCTCAGCCTGTACAGCCTGACAGAGACCAGTGAAGGATGCCCCGAGGACGAGGAGGCCAGCGCCTTCCTGCGCCTCACGCCCCTGCAGAAGCTCACCGACGCCATGTGCAAAGACGAGCGCACCATCAAGGAGCTGATCGTCGGCCGCAGGGTGGGCTTCTACAAGGTCCGAGGGGAGATCGGCTACGGGACCTTCTCCAGGGTCAAACTGGCCTTTCATGCTCTGACCAAAGGTAAACACAGGGTTGTTTATTCCACTTGATCTGTTGTTTGTTTAGATTTGTTGACTCTGAGTTGTAAAGGAAGGAGGTGCATTTAATCAGATTAGATCCAGAGGTCAAACTACGACAGCGTATACATGCCACTTAGAAAAAACTCARACAAGGAGAAGATTTATTTTTATAAGTTGATTAAAATCAAAATGTTGAGAAAAAGATTGGATTATTATTATTACATTATTACTGCCTAACTACTAAAAATAGTCATTTTGAAATGAAGGTAAAATCAAGAGCCAAAGCTTCTATTAGTCTACATCTGTTCCCTATTCCTATTAGTCTACACCTGTTCCCTATTCCTATTAGTCTACACCTGTTCCCTATTCCTATTAGTCTACACCTGTTCTCTATTCCTATTAGTCTACACCTGTTCTCTATTCCTATTAGTCTACACCTGTTCCCTATTCCTATTAGTCTACACCTGTTCTCTATTCCTATTAGTCTACACCTGTTCTCTATTCCTATTAATCTACACCTGTTCCCTATTCCTATTAATCTACAC